AATATCCTGTTGCTGGCTCTGGCGACAATGTCTCGTACCCAATCAAACGCCACGACTTCTTTCCATTCTAATAGAGCAGGTGAAGAAGATTCAGGTCCAATACGATGCTGAAGTGACAGGAGTTGAACTAACCGCCGTCCTCTACGTCCACACTTTCTCGCAGCGCCATTTCAATTTCCTCGTGTACGCCAGGCAAGACGCTTGCCAAGTTTCGAGTGAGCTATAGGGAGAATAATGAAGACAAGATAAGATATATAATTGTCGTATGGTTATAGAAGGCTGACTTGGTTACGAATGATGCCAAAGTGGTATGGGTTATCCTCAATATTGCTGCCGAAAGTATATTTCGTTTGGATGAGCTAATGATTGCGGTTTGATTAGGATTTCCTAGTTTTTTTTTGGCAGCATGAGGAGCCGGAACAGAGACTCACATCCGCAATGAAGTCCTCAAATGAAAGCACGTCTTCTGGTGCTCTGATAACCTCGTTAAAGAACTGATGCTGGACAACAACCCTCCATCCTAATATTGAGGGAACGCGGATCATGGGGGACTGCATGCGCGGTTAGTTCAGACCGCGTTTCCGAAATTTCCGGAGTTGTATAGGGCGAAAGTTCGGATGAAAAACGGACAGATGGCATGGAGTATGTGGGTCAAATGGATTCATAGACGCGGTGATCAGACGTACGTGCATGTAGGCTTGCACCCATGGATCTGCGCCTTGAATAGCCAACCGGATAGTCGATAAAATACTCGAAAAAGATAGGATACCTCCATAAGTCGGGATTTTATCCTATCAATAGGGAAAGATATGAGAGTTCTTTCTATTTAACACGATCACAAGAGGCCAACATACGCCGTGTCGTCGACTGTTCAATACCAATGTTCCAATGAGAATCCCAAAGAGACCCTTGTATACGAATGGAATTCCTTGGATGCTATCTGTGACTTGTTCGACTGTCAGCATCTTCGGTATGGTCGCCGTTTTCGATTTCCGAGAAAGGTCCAATGACTCGGGCTAAGATCGCCTTCGGTACCGATACCGTTATTATATACAGAGCAAGCAAATCATATCATAACATTAGTAAGCAGGCGCTTCAGAATTCTGGACCCCGTTTGCCACTTCATCCTAAATGCTCCAGGAGATTTACTCGGTTCGTACACCGGTTTATTGTATCTTAGAAGTCTGTTAAGCCGAGTTCCTGCTCCTACAGTAGTTCCATTCCTGTTAAACAAAACGTTACTACACGCTCTCGCAATAGCGTGGACCACCATGCATATCTGGGCTCGAGAACCCCGTTCCAAAGGGGGAATAGGAT